ACTCTATTAATGTAATCATGAATATTTGCATAATAAATAACTACAATATATGAAAGTTCCACATTATTTACAAAAGAATAAAATTTTACCGAATTATTTTAAAATCATCATATCAATGACATGTATGCCACCCCATCCCCCAAAAATTATTTATAGGAAAACCTATGATTTTTGAGAAATTGATCATTACGTTCATCATTCAGATTATGATAGTGATTTTTTCCCACTTCAAGAAACTTGAATAAGTCAGTCAGACCTGTATCAAATTCAAGTGCAAATACACAATCAAAACACGTTAAACAAGATGTCATACCTTTACTTACTAGATACATATCAAACATGATTTAATAACCTTAACAAATAAGTTTAATAAGCAAAAGTACCCGTCCCCAGTGACGGGAAAGTTTAAGTTAATCTGTCAAGTTAAATTATTTCATGGACTTTGAAAATGTTAATTATGTTGCATTCTTGGTTTCACTCAGAGCCAAAGCTCTGAGCTACGTATACCGAGAAAAGTAATTGTTGAGCATTTCAGTCATGCTAAGAACCGCTCAATAATAACATACGATAAATCTACATTTTTATTCTTCTAATTACGTCAAATTTTGAAGTGTGATTAATTCCTAACACTATAGTGTAGAATATCCTGCTTGTGAAATAAAATTTGGCATCAACATTATTCGTGTCTGTTATCCCGCCATTTCGAAAGTGAATATTGAGCTTTGCCTGCGTGCACAACTTTTCAAACCAATGCTCTGACAGACAATCTTGTTCGCAATATATATAAGATAGAACTGAAGACGAAAGACTTTCGAAACGTCATCCTCTACACTTGTGTCTCTACAACAGGCAGTTGCCGTCCATTTTACGAAGTTTCATCAAGATAGACAAAGTTTTTGAAACACACGTCTTATTTTTTAACGAGAAATTGGCGGTATTTCTGCATTAGTAAAAATATATATTAATAAATTTCATTACTACTACCACTACAGGGATATAAACACTTGTGAAGGTTTAATTAGACTTTTGGAAAAGCAAAAATTTAACGTAAAATGTTACGACTGGCGAAGACAGTCATCTTCTGGAAGATCGAAGGGTCTCAGAAAACTGTTAATTTGACTAAAACATGATTATTATTGTTTTTTTTTTACTAATTCGTGAGAGGGTACGAATAGGCCCAGGCGCATGAGTGTTGGTAGCTCCGCTACTACCAGATTATGTGAACACAATCACATCTAACTCATGAAGTTACATTTTAAAACCTAGCTTTTTTTTTTTTTAGACAAGTGCTAATGTGTTTACGTCAGTTCACACAGGTTTAACTCTTTAGCTGCTGTTCTCAAGATGAAAAATATTAATGAAACGCGGAAAATTCTCAGTAGTTCGATAAAACTAATTAAAGAGGAATATACTCCGAAGGTTTGATTTTCAAAAAAGCCACATGCTATTTTGATGAATAGGAAGAAATTAACAATAAGTGAAAAACACCAAGCTAACAATAATAAATTATTATTATTAAACTTACCGGTTCTACACGGAATCCTGTAGTCTAGAAAAATAAACAATGGGTTAAAGAAACTTTTGTACAGTTTAAACGGAAAGATTCTTGGCTATAAAGATTTTAGGCTTAAATAAACTAAGTACGAAAAACGTCAAAGCTGCACTACGATCCTTAATAAGACAGGGAACAAAGAGGTTGAATTGTTATTTTTGTGTAGACTTAAGTAACTTCTTGACAATAACCCTTAAAACCTTTAAGCTGGGTATGGTGATTGGAGTCTTCCAAAAGTTAAAGAAGTCTTGGTAGATTCCTGATGATCCAAAGATTCCAATTTGTTCATATGTTTTCAAAATGCAAGGGTGAGGATAAAAAAAAAAGACAAAAAAATATTGTGCATGTTAGTATGACTTCTATTGTTAGCAAGATGTTAGAATATATTGTAAGATATCATTTAAAAAAACTTATCATGAAAGTTGGCATTTAAAGAAAGACTTAGCATGATTAAAAAAAGGGTTTCTCCTTTACCTAACATTATATACCAACAACAAGGGACCATTTGCTCCATTAAGCCTATTTCAAGAATAAAAATTTAAACCCACCCTATATTTTTTCAGGAAATTATCAATTCCACTCTTAAATTGCCAAATATAACTCATTCCGTAAGCGGATCACCTTGTGGAAACAATAAAAATTAACAGGGATCTTATCTGTCTTTTCCAGATTTTAAAAGTTGCATACTCTCGTCCCACTGTTTTCAGATTTTACCAATAAGAACTCTTTACAAGAGGCCTTTATCCTGTTGATCCTTCACAAAATCCAATTTTCGATAAGATCCCCTCTTACCTTTCTTTTTCCAAGAAAAAATATGTTAAGAGATCTTAACTGATGCCTATAGGTAACCCTTCCATCCTAGTAGCCCTGCTATAACCCTATTTCAATACATCAATATCCTTTCTTGAATAAGACTAAACCTGTATACAATATTCCAAGTGAGGCCTAACTAGTGATTTGATAAATACACCACAAAATTCTATCAACTTTATAACTTAGTAATAACAACACAGCATTGCTTATGGCTTCAGTGATTTATCTATATTATTCTAATATCCTTATGTTCAGTCCTGCTATCGAGTAGTTTCTCATTTATATTAAACATCTGATCCAAGTTATGATAACCCAAATGCATTACCTAGTCCTTACTATAAGTATAAACGTATTTGTCACACATCAATTAATCCAAGTCATTCTGCAGTCTTCAATACATATATCTAAAAAATAAAATATCTGAGAGTTTGATGTCATCAGCAAACTCATTTTGTAACTGTGCCCCTACCTTACTTGTTGGTGTATAAGACAATACTTTTTACTCTTAAAACAATGCTCAATTTTTACACATTATCTTATACACAGATAGAGTTCCAGTAAGAACTCCAGTTAATAGCATATTTAACCAAACTACGTTGTTCCTTTTACTTTTGTTTGCTTTTTTAGTAAGTGTGTTAACATCGTGCCACCAACTGCATTACAATGAAATATTTGTAATTATATCATTTGTCTTGATTCTTTATAACTCGAACGGTGGTTCCCAACCTTTTGTGGCCTTTGCACCCCTCCCCCAAAAAGTGTCCATTAGATATTTCCTCTTTGCAACATTTTGGAGAAAATGGACCTTGTATTAGGCCTCTTGGCTTCAGAATTGTCTTTCTGGAAATTAAGATTTGTCAGTTATTACTATTTTTTTTTTATCTCAACATGTAGCCAAAGACTGATTATGCAGTTGTCACTTTTCTCCAAATGTTCCAGTTAACTCTTGTAACCATATCCTCACTAGTGGTTAACAATAAGCTCTGGTTAGCTTCCTGACCATTTAGAGGGAATGTTGATTCAGATTTACTGAAAACAACTATTTATGTCAGAAGCTGGAACAGTAAGCTTCAATATATCAAAATTAATAAGTTTAAACTTGGAAGTCCAAATCCACACTTGTTCTTTCAAAAGTTACGAACTTGGGTTTTGTTTGATGTTAATGTTGTTAGTTTAAATTCATTTAATCTCTGGTTGCATAGATACATAAATGTAAAGAACTACAGTTGGTTTGTTTAGTGAGTAGAGCTATGTTTAGCTTATCTGACAGGCCTCATTATATTTTACTTCTTATCTTTCTTTTAGTTAAGTGTTTGGAGAAATGTGTATGAGGAGTATAGTGATAAGGTTAGAGACAGGAAACAGGACATTTTTTTTAAGAACAATAACTTTAAGCATTGGAAATCCAGCAACAAGTTTACTCTTCAACAAAATTATTTTACTCCAAAAGTTATAAACTTCCAAAATTGTTTATTGTTGTTACTTATTATAAATTATTTGTAAGATAGGTGTATAGTCTGCATTAAAATGGTTTTATTGCCACTGTTTATTCTTGTGTTCTCAATCTGAACACAAACTGTTTTAATGTTTTCTTTTAATTCATTCATAGTGTCCTAGCAATATTAACACTGAAGTTTCTAGAATAATTGAAGCATTTTTCTTTATTCTTCAACTACATTTATTATAAAGCATGTTTCATTTGGGATATAACGTTTACTTAAAGTAAGGACTTTATAAAAAATTCTAAATTTAAAGAAAATCACAAATCAATAGTGAATTCATAAAAAAAAAAAATGCACATTCCATACTACATTGACATGTGGATCTATGTCAATTAGAAAAGAAGTTATTTAACATGGCACACAGTTTTCCTGACATCCTCATCATTTAAGACTTTTTGATAAAAGAAACTGCAAATTCAACCTTGAGACTTGCTTTCATAATATGTAATTACTTAATACATTTCCTTTTTTATGGACACTGCCATGTTGATATCTAAATCTGGAAATGGTATCAACACTAAGTACTGATATAGCTCATTTACAGCGGCCTCGTAAATATCTGAAACTAAGCATTCACAAAAATTGTTATATTTTCAAAAAATTATAATGTATGACTTCATACACAGAGGTACTATTTTATCAGTATTTGAAAACAAAAATATATATGAATGAACAATGCTTAAACTTATATTGGGCATGCTTGACTGTGTACAAGTGAGCCCACCATGTTCTAATTAACATAGATAAGTAGAAACTGAAATGACCGAGTAGTGTAAAAGCAATTAATAAGTGCAGACATATCAAAGAATATTTATTATGAATGGCCACAATATGGTGAACAGAAAGTGTGATGATACCAATCACCCCCCCCCCGACAGATTGTGTTTTGTTATCACCAACAAAAATCTTCAACCCATTTGTTTTGGAACCTAACTTCCACATAGATTACATCTCCTTTGCAGTATTTACATGGTTGACCTCTTAGTAATGATTAGATAGTACATCAAAAATATATCCACAATAACAATTCTTGTAATTTGAGTTGATTTAAAAATCTCCACTTTCACTTATTTTTGATTTTATATTATACATTTCTTTATCAACATCCTTTCATCAATTTATAAATAAATTACCTGGTGATGAACATCCAGAGTCATCTGGCAGGTTTTCAAGTTGATTAATTTTGGCACTCAGAAGTTGAACTTTCTTTTGAACATGCTGTCTTATGACATCTGCACACAGTTGACAGTAAGAGAGATTTCTTGGTAGATAGAGATAATATCTATTGGCATCTCTAGACAAAGTCATTTCCATAGGTGATGCAGTGGCAAAAGAAGGATAAGCAGTGGACTGTAGATCAACTGGCAAGTCCAAAGAAAAGCTAGTTCTGTGGCCAATTTTTCCAACCATTGGCCTTCTGCGAAATAATGGACTAAAACGATCTTCTCCATTAAAGTTACTCATTTTTTACCAGTACATGTGTAAATATATCTATCCAAGTAATTAAGAACAAGTTTTTGTGTTAATAATTTAAACTACTGATGGGAGTCAATACAACACTATTAATGTTAAATCCATGGACATCAAAATTATTTAATTTCTTGTAAATGGTAAACAATCCTAATGTTTTATATTAAATTATATATATATAGATATATATACACACACACACACAAATCAGCTATAGCAAACAATAAATTTATAAAACAAAAACTGTACGAACTTATCTAAGGTTTCATATAGTTATTACTCTTTTTAACACCAAAACGTGACATATATACACACATTGTGCACACAACATTCTGTTTGTGAATTCGGACACACATTTACATTGTGTATACTGTTACTGTTGGTGTTACAAAACGGTTCCTGATAAGAAATTCCAGAAAATAATTTGCAAAATATGCAAAGTACAGGTGTTTTAAGTTTGTTAGTTAAGCTTCTTGTAACAGAGAAAAAGTTAACATGGAAGAAGTAGATCTTTTTCCTAGCTATCATTGGCACTTATAGTTATATAAATTATTCAACTTACAAGATAATTGAAAAGTTAACACAGTAACTGTTATAGACTAAAAGCTATATATATTTCTAACTTGCACATCCACTATTTCACTTGCAATCATAAATATTAATCGTTGACGTTACTAACTGTTTTAGGTAGCAAAACCTTTCCGATTACGTTAACACTTACAGCCTTCATCTTGTAACCGCTCTTAACTTTGTAGAAACGTCTTATATACTACTACTACTACTACTGGCATCTACTGAACAGTTTATTTCTATATTGCAACAGAACACGAGACACTGTGTATAGCGCCATCTCTTGACATATTTTATAAGCGAATGCAATCAATATATTTTATCAATCACCAAATTTTCGAATACTATAAACTTTTTCATAAAAATTCGCGATTAAAAGATATAATACAACAATAACTACCATAAGCTCACATTGGTGATTTTAATCAGTATTCAAAACCATATATTAATGAAAATAAACCTTTATATACAACATTTTTTTTACTTAATCAATGCATCTATGCAAAATGATTGGATTTTACTTTTTTTAAATTATCATAAAAGGGGCATTATGTAATATACGGAATAATGTAAATTTACTGTATGCAGGTTAATTGAGTTAAAAAGCCACGAAAACATATTTGCTTAATCTTAACCATAGGTTAAGTATGTTATATTAAAGCGATTTTGGAGCATCACCACGTCGTTACAGTTAATGTCGCCACCTCTGATCATGTTCTATCTGACAACTGTGCTTCGTGAAAACAGCTCTGCAGTCTAGTTTCAATTTCAAAAGACTGTCGTAAGGCTATCATGTCTAAAGTACACACCCCTCCTCACTGCATTGTTTCATAAGCTACCTTGTGTCTTCGTATGGAATAGCACGAATACCAATTTCATTATCCAGAGGTATGCGACAGTTGAATCTATATGTCATGCAAACAACTTCTGTATACGTGACTTGTGTCGATTTTTCAGACGGATATTCTTTATTATGTTGCGTACTGTTGCCTAGGGCACGTGTACGACTTTTGCCACTGATCATTGTGTTCGTAAAATACCTTTAACAAGATGCCGCACTTTGTTTACTGCAGCTGGAGTAACTTGTTAGAGGTATCTTTCTGGATGAATTTCAAAATGCACTTCTGATACACTTAATCTATATTGGCTGTGGTTGTCAATGACTTACTGATTTGCATATTCCAAATCATATTAATATAACGTACTCAACCTTTTGTATTCCTCCACGAAACTTGTTCTAAGCCATTTCTACAACAATTTTTTTCTAATTAATATCTTTATTGCTAAGCTTTTTGTGGTTTGTTTTTAATTATGCACAAAGCTACACAAGGGCTATCTGTGCTCTGCCCACCACGAGTATCGAAACCCGGATTCTAGCGTTGTAAGTCCGCAGACATACCGCTGTACCACTGGGGGGCAGCTTTTTGTGATGTTGTTTCTTCCACAAACTTGATTTTGTTTTTAGCCCTAGACTGTAACATTATTTTTATTGTGCAATTTTATGTTGAGTAAAAATAAAGAAGATATTTGCTTAGATGAACTAGTTATAGAGCTTTAGATATGTTGATCGTGTTATTGAAAAAGTCCAAAACTTGTTTCATCTGAGAATCAATTCTAATTCTAATGTGAAACAAAATGTTCAAAACATACTTGTACAGCTTCCATTGCAGCACTGAAAACAATGTTTTTCCAATGAAATACCAGGAACACGAGATTTCTCTGCAATGAGATAAAAGATGAGTCAGTAATTTTGACAGATGTATCGCTTTTAAGTTTGCACGCGCAGTTTCATTTTCCATCTATCGATATTTTTATTACTTTAGTTATTTCGCTCTCTCGGCTTTCTAAAATCATGGGAATACGCTTTCACATAGTTTAATGCAACAAAAATCAAAATATGAATACGTGTCGTGAATAAAATATACAATTGGTTTTGGTAATTACTTTAAAATTTTATGTAAATAGGTTACAGTGGAGGTAATACAGAAACACGCACACACTCCTATCAACAGAGATCAGCACCATCTTTCTTAATATATATCCGTCGCTCGGATTATAACAACTGATTTTGCTAGACTAAAGTTATATACGGTTATGGTCCCTTGGCGCCAGCAAGTCGTAGACATGCGTGTAGCAAAGACATCAATTTGATGTAATATATTAAAGTTTTGTTGTTGTTGTTTTTTATTGCTAGTTCAGTCTACACGCAAAATCAATATTACTTTTGTGAGATTTGGACAATTTAGCAAAAACAGTTTGATTCAACCACTGCTGTTCAGTGTTCGTTTTGTCTACACAACTGATGGAGTCGGATTTCTTTATTTTCTTGACTTGTTTGAAATTGAAACAAAAAGTACTGGGTGGAAGTAAATAAGATAAATAAAGCACATGCCTAGACACAAAGTGAATTTAAAGTGTATTAGTGGTTATCCTGGTAATCTAGCAAATTGCATTCAACAGTTATATACACATTAATACTGACATACAGTGGTGGGATTCAAATATTTTAACAACACACATCGAAACACATTCTTTTTCATGACACAGTAAAAAGAAATATTTTCAGTGAGAATGTTATTCAATGCAATAAATATCGCCATGAGCGGAGCTACGAAATTATAGTGGGAGGGACTAAATTTTGAATACTTTAGATATTAGGTCGTCAAGAAATTAATGTCGCTTTTTTTTTAGATGACAAAACCCGAACAACTTGTATATCAAAACAAAACATTTATTAAATGAAATAGTTTTCATCCTTATCGATGATGCTTTTACATCTTACAATCAGGTTGTTAATGCCCTGATAAAGAAATCACTTGGCTTTGAAGCAAAAAACATGTCGATGTAATTTTTAACACCTTCCACATTTGCATACGTTTTCCCATTAAGCTGGTGTTGCAGCGAAC